GGCTTTTTTCTTTTTGCTTATGTGGTGCTGAGGAATCGAACCCAGGGCCTCAGGCATGCAAGGCAAGCGCTCTATCACTGAGCCACCTTCCCAGCCCCCTGAGCAAACATCTTACCACATAGAAATAAACAATGTCCAAGAGGCATCAGGAATCTTTTCATTTTGAAAATGCTTTAATAAGTGTTGACAACACTGTTTTGCAAAATGTAAAGGTACTATACAAATTCTTAATACAAAAAGAATAAATTAAAAGCAGATTTCTTTTTAATTCTGCAACTTTGTCTACAACATACATCTTTCTCATTGATTACAGTTGAACAGAATCCAGTAAAATCATTTTACATGCTCTACAGTCAGTTTCAGGAGCAACCTAATCTCCCCCCCCACCCCCATTATTAAACTAGAGTCCATTTTACACAACTTGTAATAAACTATTGACATTAATGGATATGTAAAACTTTACACCTAGTTAACTAAGCAGTAATTGGTCGTTGGATAGCACCTGGATGAGGTTTGCTATATTTCGAACTAAACTAATACTTAATGAAAACAAATTGGAATTTTAACAGTTTTCAACACTCACCTGCATATAACAAAATGAGAACCCCACCTGGCTCACAGCAGTCTGATGTATGAGTCTTTTCACCAGTCTCCTGGCTGAACAGGCAATTTCTTATTGTATCCAAAGAATCCAATAGAGGCTTTTATATCAGACCAGGAGCTTCATAATTCATTTTATTTTGTTTTAAAGAAATAGGGCTATAGAAAGAATTTGTAAGTGCTCGCATACAATCACCACAGCATTTCCCACAACGACCATCGTGGCAGGCCAGAAAGGGCTGTCACTTTATGTACATTTTATATTAACCGAACACAGCGAAACAGTAAAACCTGTTTGACTCAATCTCCTTCTTCACTACCAGACTGTCATTTTGTTTGCTGGGTCTGTAATTCCTGCTTCTACTCCACTCATCTGCTTTCCCCCGCCCTAATCTAAAGTGTACCCCATGTTTTTGGAAGAGCTTCTGCCTCTCCTTAGAACTGGGCTAAAAGCTTGATCCAACAGGCTTCAGACTTTATTTCTGACTTCTACCCATGTCCTAGAACCTGTAACCAGGTAACCGCACCACCTCTAGTTTCTCTCTTGACTTTTTAACCTGTTGCTCATAGCTGTGTTGAATTCCCTCTGTACCTTCTTTTGAGAGAAAGGAAAATGACCCAACGTGCATCACATTTCCAAGTAAGGGAAGGGGTGGGTGGAGGTAATCTAAAAACAAACTATTTTAAGCTCTGATTACCCAAATAAGAGCCATAACTACCCCTCCCCATTCAAGTGCCAGATTCATTTCATATCCTAACCAGTTTCTATTTATCCTGCAGGTTTACTCCTCAAGCATTCTGGGAATAACATTTTGTCCCTCAAGCTGGAAGTGTCAACCGAGCCATATGCAGTGCTGGGGTGCCTGCCCTCCCGGCCCACAGAGAAATGGCAGAGGAGTTGGTGGCCGTGGCCAGGGTGGTATGAATGTCCCACTTGAGTGACAGCACTTTCCAGGCTACAGCAGAGGGAGCATCATGGCTGCTTAGTCCATTCTGCACCTTCCTGGTCTGGTAGAGTCTACTGATATTCTTAGTTCACACAGACATGAAAAACAAAGGTTTTCCTTTTGACACGGTAGCTAACTTTTAGTTCTGCTTTCCCACAAAAGTACCCCTTACCCTGGCTCCTGCTCCTGGCTGTCAAATGCCTTTTGACTAGGAAGTCCTTACAAATGAGAAAATCCCCCCACCCCCCCTGCGCCATCATGCACAGTCTACCTCCTCCACAGAGACCTTTTGTGCCATCTTGAGTCACCCATCTAAGATTGTGCACTGGTTATTAGAAAAATGTTTTTTTTTTGAGGCCTTTGAAGTTTGATGGCTTTCCGGTTGTGCATTGAGCATAGCTCAAAGCACATGTAAACGGCAGCTCCCACACGTGTTCTCTTCCTCGTTTTTCCTTGGTTGGATGCTGCAAACCAAGGTGGCGCTTCGAGGCGACTGTTAACGGTTGTAGTATCTGGGCCCTTCAGGAGCTGATTTTTTTTTTCAACCCTGCTCTGCCTGCCGGCTGGTAGACACATATAAATCTTCCCACCTAAGGGCATGGCTGGGCTCTTTTAAGTGACACACAGAAGTCGCATCTGCTAAGGAACAGAAAAATGAGCCACGACACATAAACACACTTGGCTGGATGGCAATGTGCTTTTTCCCTTGGTTTCCCATAAAAATGAAAAGCAAATGAAAAACCTTGAAGAAAACACAGGGGATACTTCAACTAGTGGTTTTAATGAGAGAGAACCCCCTTTTGGACAATGGTCACCTTCAAGTTTCCTGAAAGAAAGCAGGGCCTGGGCAGAGACCAGGGCTTGCCATACACAGCTCCCTGCAAGGACTGATTTCCTGGTGTCCAGATGGATGGAGTCATTGAGTCAGCAGGGCCAAGCCTTGCTGCCACCACCCTGTGGGACTACTTTTCACGGCTCTCTCTCAGAAGGGGAAGAGGATGTTTAAGGGAGATGGACTGAAGACACGATTTACGAGTTGGCTTTCACTTGGGGTGTGCAGAGTTTAAAATCTCGTTGAAGAAAGAATGTCTTCCTCTTGGCCCCTTGTATTGGTTTGTTTTTGTTTTTGCATGTGTTTAATCTTTGGCAGCATAGAACTGATCGTGAATCTCCCGATGCATCTCTGAAGGGCTAGATTTCCTCTCTCACTCCCCCCCCATGGCCACTCCCCGCAGGCTGTCTCACTTAGGAGGATTTTGGGGGAGACTAAGGATCCCCACAAGGTGGGGCACTCTCCTTGAAGGGCATGGTGGGCCTATGGCAGCGGCTGTCTGCATGTAGATCTTGCTTCCCTTCTCTCCCTTGGCTACTTGTCCGCAGGAGTTCAAGCATGCTGGCTTCCCGGACAGTGCCTGGCAGAGGGAAGCCACCAAGGCGCCATTGAGGATTGCTGTCTGGCTCTCTGTGGGCAAGAGAGCCAGGGGGACACACAGTGGGACCGGAACCTTCCAGAATGTCTCCTCAGTCAGGTATTTGAGGGTTTGAAGGGATTGCGGAGACAGGAGCAAAAAAAAAAAAGTGCTGAGGGCCAAAGCTGGTGCAGGTGACAGTGCGTCTGGGTAAGGCAAATGAGAGGCAGTGAGGTGACAGAGAATGGCATCGGGCTGGCTCACACGAGGGTCCCGGGCTTGGCTTTTTCCTGCCCGTACCACTGGACGTCAGCTAGTTCTGGATAGAGGGAGGAATCCAGGAAGCAGCTGTCAGTGTAGCTCCTGTGGGGGGTTCAAGGAGGAGACGACAGGGTTAGAGGTAGAGCACGCAGGGATGTGGACCCTCCCTCACCATGGTCTCCCCTGCCCAGAAGGCACGAAGCCTGGCACTCGAGGGTGCCGAGGATACAGGAGGCACCCAGAGACCACAAGGGTCTCACAACAGGGCTTTGGAATCCTTGGGAAACTGAGCTAGCTGCTCTTCCCCAACGTGGCTCTCACATCGGCCCATCCTGGAATCACCCGGGAGACTCAAAAATGCTCCTGTTTGAGCTCTGAGGTTGCTACTGGTAGAAATGGGATGTGTGTGCTGGGGTGGGCCTGGGGTGCTTTCTACCCTCTCCCAGGTGATTTTCAGATGCACCCTCTGTGAGAGCTCTCTGGGGCTGCAGGCCTTGGGGGTGACATCCATCTCCAAAGGGGAACCTGATTTTTCTGGTAGATTATTTTTTATTCTGTCCTGAAAAAAAAAAAACATTTAAAATATGTGACTTTCCCTGTAGTCAGATTGACAGGATATTCTGAATTTGAGTTCTAATTAAAAAAAAAATCAATTCTGTGGATTCTAAACAATCTGTTTTTGTGATTATAAAGGAAAAATACTTATTTAAAACATATAGCAGGGGGCTAGCTGCGCAGCTCCAGGCCTCGGCTTTAACCTCTGGCACCAAAATAGCCAATAGAACATACAGGAAAGCAAAGAAGGAAAGACTTCTCAAGAAAACAGGTAGGCATGACTGGTTGGGATGGGTAGAGGTGATTGTGAAACATCAAGTTGTCGTCACATGGCTAGATTGATGGCAATATGCAATACGAGGGTCCATTATCAAGGACCAACTACCCTAAACCAGCTCCCTGTGCCCAGTGCTGGGGAAGAGGCGGGCATGGTTGGCGGGGAGCTCAAAGCAAGGCGAGTTTACAGGGTAGCATAACAGCCTCCTGAGGCAGCTCTCACAGAAGAATCACACATTTACTGGGCTCTGTGGAGCAAGTGAATGACACGGTTCTGGGGCCTTGTAAATTCTTGGTTAACGCGCTTTGTCACTGAGCCACACATTCCCAGCTAGTGTCTGTACTTTGTGAATGTTCTTCATTTAGTCCAAAAAGTCCATGAGAGCTAGAAAATACCAAAGGTTTGTTTGTATCCTGGTGGTTTTCCCTCCCCTTCCCTTAGTATTAGGGCTTGAACTCAGGGCCTTGCTCTGGCTTGCTTGCTGGACACCCTCAGCATTTTTGCTAGGCAATTAGAGAGGTGGATCCTAAAGACTGTTCTGCCGGGGCTGGCCTTGAGCTATGATCCTCCAGGCTTCTGCCTCCTGAGTAGCTAGGATTATAAGTGTGAGCCATTGGCATCAGGCATTCTAGTGGATTCTAATGCCACTTTTGTACTTGCAGCCCTGGAAACAATGGGTTAACTCCTTAAATGTGGCTCCAGAATCAAAGGAATAAAAGGCCCTTAGTTATGATGCTGCCATGGTATGCTGAGTTTGGATGGTAAGTGGACGATTCTATTGCACCCACCCTAGGACTGAGAACTTCTAATGGGAAAGGTGTTTGAGCCCAACATGAGAGAATTGCAAGCTGCCCCCCTGGAGGCCAGTATCTCTTTAAGGTTACCGCTTCTTCCTGGATAGACCTGTGACCCTGGCTTCCCATGTAGAGTCCAACCAGGCATCAATTCCAAGATGGCAAAGGCCAAGCCAGGCAGCTTTGAAAGCACGAGGCTGACAGGAGCAGAAAACAGAGCCATGGGAGGAGAGTACTGGCGGGCCCCATCTCCATCAGCTGATTCACTCCTCCATGCTTAAGTCTATTGAATTGATTTCTGTTTGCTAGGCAATGAATACTACTAGCACCTTGAAATAGGAACTCTGGAGAGAAATTCGTTGTGGATACATTTGTTTGTGATATGGATCTATCTTTGGACAAAATTTCCCTTTAGACTTCATAGACTATTTAGAAATTACCTCCGCCAGCATTTCTCAAAGTAGACCTGTGAAGGCTCTGAGGAAACAAAGGTTCTCTGGACAAGTAAGTTTGAGGACCTGGCCTTTAGGAACACTGATACACACTAAACACAGATACACTAAAGTCCTGTATTACCATGTTTTACTCAGAACTGCTCAAACTTCATGACCTATTAATGCCCACACAACACACAATCTTCCATAACTTCATACTATCAATTGTGTTTGAATCTCTTTGTGTAACATCTCCTCAAAACAGTTTTTGGCTCAAACTCTGATAGTTTAAAAAAATGGGCCAGGCGCTGGTGGCTCACACCTATAATCCTAGTTACTTTTAGGAGGCTGAGATCTGAGAATCACGGTTCGAAGCCAGCCTGGGCAGCAAAGTCCATGAGACTCTCATCTGCAGTGAACCACCAGAAAAAAAAAAAAAGCGGAAGTGGCATTGTGGCTCAAGTGGTAGCGTGCTAGTCTTGAGCTGAAGAGCTCGGGGCAGTGCCAGGCCTGGAGTTCATGCACCATGACCAGGCCCCCCCCCAAAAAAAATAGGTAATAGTTTGCACCACAAATACAAAGGACCTCTGTCACAATACAATGCGCTTGAGAGGAACTGAAAATCCTCTTTACATGGAGCAGAAGCTCAATGCTCACTGAGTTCAAACAGCAGCATTTAAACAAGGCAGCAAGTCATGCAGTTTACAATGTATGTGAGACTCAGTTAATGGGTGGGGGGGGGGAGTGGCTGGACCACATGCTCACCTGTGCCTCATTAAGGAGACCCCTGTATTGCTAACACACAGATCTGTGGGTCTGGCAGGTTTGTTTTTAAATTGTAGAGCTCTTTACTCCTTATCATTGAACGGACCAAACAAGATCTCTGTGGTGGGGCAGGGGCTGCCCAGTGGCTGTCCCAGATGGAATCTGGAAGGGCCACAGAGTGACAGCTACAGCTTCCCCGGTCTCTACCTCTTCTGAGAAGGGGTGCTTACAGCATGACTTGCGACTGGCCTGAAATGTGTGTACTATTTTCTGACTAAAGTGTATCCATTGAAGGAATAAAAGAAAAAACAAGAGGAAGTTGGATGGAAATACATATCCACCCACTCTACAGATGTTCCACAGGAAGTATTTCTAAGAGATTCTCCAGCATTTCTGAAGGATGTAGCAGGCAGCCTTCAAGGTTGGAAATGTGGCTGAACCTGTTGGCATTGTATTTTCTGGTGGGGCTCAGTGAAGCCCTAGCTTCTCAGTCTATACAAATCAATCCTATGCTAAGAGAAGATGCCGCGGGCCAAGGAAGTGGGCAGCCCTCATGAACAACGCAAACCGGGAAGCACTACCTGGTCCCTGGGGAAATCAACTAAGTTGTCCCCTGGCACGTGACCTGGGAGGTTTTTCTGCCACCCAGAAGGGAACTTCTGAGTCTACTGTTGGCTTTATGGAATGCCCTTTACCAGGTAAGATCCAGGGCAATGGCTAAGCCAGGGCCTCTAACTCATGATCCTCAGTCAGCTGTGTTTTACAGCTGCTTTGACAGGGAGGTGGAGTGATTGATGTGTGTATGAGGGAGGAAGGGTGGAGAAATTTCAATTAAATTCAATTACTTGTATGAATTGATTTTTGTCAATGTACAGTTCCAAGAACAGTCATAAATTGCTTCTGCAAGTGTACACTTCATACTTATTATCCTTTCTAAACTCTGAGCTGCGCTTTATCACTATGCCTTACTAAAAATGACTGTTTACAAAACTGACTGGGTAGAGAGAGGGTCACGTGACAAGGCCCTCTTGAGTCCAGTCCACCCGGCTGCACATGAACTTGTTTCTAAATTCCAGCTTCTCCATCACAGTCTCACAGTAATCTTTCAAACCTAATTAATTCTGAAGTGCCCACTTCCAGCACCTCTAGCACATTATTTTGTCACACTATACTGAAGGAAAAAAATGGATCCTTTCTATTTAAAAAGACTGCTCTTACACAGAAGGCTGGGTGCAGTGGTAATCCTAGCTACTCAGCACTTGAAAAAGTGATTGCTCTCATCACTGAATCTTTTTTTTTTAACATTTTTGGTTTTATTTCTTGGAGCACTTAATACATATGCACGCCTGTCCCCTAATAGCTTTGTGAACTGTGGCCTTGAACATGACCTTCTGGAACTAAGATCTTATATAGAGTCAAGGTTCCATTATTTTGACCAAATTAAAAATTTTAGACTAGGCATGGTGGCTCATGTCTGTAATACCAGCTACCCAGTTGACAGATGTCCAGAGGCTCAAGGTCAGCCCAAGCAAAAATGTGAGACTCTGAAAAACAGCTAAAGAAAAAAAAACATGGCTAGATGCATGGCTCAAGCGGTAGAGTGCCTGCCTAGCCAAGCACAGGGCCCTGAATTCAAACCTCAATACCACCAAACAAACGTACCCCAAAAGCATTCTGTCTACCTCTGCATGGCATCCTCCTATTTCTAGAAATGCTGATCTCAATGCTATGCAATTAAAAGTCCCTGGACAGCAGCGTTTTAGAAATTTCAACAGGCATTGCAGTTAGTAGCCAGGATGGTACCAAGGGCTCATTCTAATGAGTTCCTAGGTGGTGATGGTAATGATGGTGGTGGAGGTGGTGATGGTGATGAAGCTAATCGACAGGGTTTTATAGCATCTGTACAAATACATAGCTGCCACTCAAAAATGCAGCGATGTGATCTCAGGTGCATCTACCTTGATACTTGGACACACTAGTCCAACACTGCTCACGGAGCCACTGAAAAGTATTCACGGACACTTAATTGGGAATCTTTCTAGGAAGTAGCATTAATAATATCAAACATCTGATGATAAAAACCACACATACAAATGTCTAGAGAGAAGACGTAATGGCTTCCACTCAGATGTTTCCTTCTGGAAACCGTGACAACACATGTGCAGCACACCTGGTATCACAAACTCATGGGCAGTAAGAACAAAACGTTCCCTTACGATACCTCTATTCATCAGTACTTTGGTGAGTTGGAGACTCAGACCCATCCATGATGGGTGAGCTTTCTGTTGCTTCTCTGAACAAAGGAAAGCAGAAGAGGAAGAGAAGAGAGGTTATGTTAGAAAGAGGCGTTTGATACACATGATTAGTAGCTCATTAGCACACCGGAAGGACCCACTGATCACCCACGTGTCAGTGACAACGTAAGCAATACAGAACGGCCCATCCCCATTTGTGTGGCTTTGGGAAGGTAGGTAGCACTGGCAGTGTTCCCTGCATGCTATTTTTTTTAAAAAATCATTATCTTCAGAGAGCAACTATTGCTTGTGAATAATCACTCAATCCAATCTGGCAAAACAGCTGACTTCAAAAACCAAAGTAAGGTCCAACTTAAGTGATTAGCCTTGTAAATCCTAGCCTATAGTCAAACACACTGGCATATATTTGGATCAGGCAAGATGGGCATGATCTGGAAGTGCTGGAGGATCCAGAGAGAAGTGTCCTATTTGGATGAGATGGTTTAGCCCCTGAAGGGAGACAGAGGCTGTCTCTTGGGAATTAATCTTGGGGAGACTCTTGGACTGTAAGCCCTGTTCAGAGAGAGTCTAGGGCTGGAGTGAAGATGGTATGTAAGTGAGTTTGCAAATGATTCATAATAAAGACACAGGGGTAGCTACTACCAAACATACCTAAGTAGCAAGGGTAGACAATACATTCTCTTAGGATTAAGAGGTAGAGCGGGATGAGGCAGGGGTGGTCAAACCATCTGTCAATCACCTAATAGGAGGGCTTGTGGCAGCAGCCTGCTGCTTCTGCCCCTGGGCTGGGTGAAGCTCGGGCTTCTGGTCTGGGATCCACCAGCTGGGTGGAAGAAGTTTCGGGGGGTCAAGGCACTTAGTTTCCTTGAGCCTCAGCCCTAAAGCCAAAGAATCCAGATATTTCCCCTTGCCGCAATGCATGCAGCCTGGATTCTAGGAACTGAGAAAGCCTGTGAACTCCCAGCAAGTGCTCATGAAGTGTGAGCAGTCCCTCCATCCAAAACGAAGGCTCTGGGAAGCCCCGGTAAATTCACTGCTCGACACTGGAGATTCATCTCCCAGCCAGCAATCAGATTTTTCCAGACACCCCTCCCCAGTCTCCAGCAGAGCAGAAACTCGCTGAAGTTGGAGACAGGAGCAGGTAGCAGGTCACTCACACCTGCTGGAGGCATGGGTGAGAACGTCCTACCCGGCCACAGGTTATAACGCTCAAGGAGGACACCTAACACCACCCAAAAAAAGAACTGGCTCCTGCTTTCATCTACTGTGCTGTGCCCAGCCTTTACTTGAAGGTCTCAAGGCACCTGACTTGCTTTACTTCTTCATAAAGAACAAGTGCTCAGTGCAGACAGAGCCCTCTCCATCAGATGCATTCCGATGTACTGAGAAGCATGTGCCAGATGCTTGGGGCACCATTCAGGGAGGGCTGGCCTGGCACCTCCGGTTGGCCTGGGTTATCATTAGAACCCAAGCCAGATGTCTGTCTGGAATTCTGACCAGAGGAATGCAATACTTCCTGTTTCCCCTCCCCACATTCTGGGGAGGAGGGGTGAAGGTGGGGTTCATGACCTACTGTGAAAGCATATGTACAGAACTCACCCCCATAAAGAAGAGGAGTGAGGTAGAAGGGGTCAGTGAGTGATTCATGAAGTTTCTTTGGAAACCAAGCCATGTTCCCCATAATGAGCCCTGCTAACTTGCTTGCTCCTATGTCTTGCATCACTAGGGTCTCCCATTGACAATGCTCAGACATGGCCTAGAATGCAGAAGAGCCAGGCGCAGCCGGGAGGGAACACTCACCCCGTCTGCCAGGTCAGGAGGTGGTGGGGGCTGCTCGGGGGGGTGGCTCCAACCTCACTGGACGGCGTCGAGCTTCTCTGGCTCTGAGGTAAGGCAGCTGCACACGGAGGGAGTGGGAAAGAGGGAGAGGACATGGCTGAGACCAGGTGAAGGAGCTCGGGACGTGGCCTCTGCACCTTTGAGCATGGGGCCCCATTGCCAGGGATTCAGGCTACAGCCCCTGTGGCAGGGTCTTGGTGACCCCACAGCACAATCACAGTGCACAAACATCTCTGTACATCCACCAAACCAGGTGCCTCCGTTCTGATTTGGGCTGATCTGGGACCCCAAGTTCCCGCTTTGCCACGGGAGTAAGCCCCGGGAAGGGCTCTGGTTTCTATGGTAAAGGCAGCAAAGGCCCTTTGAGGGAGAGCCTGGCAGAGCTCATGCAGGAATGCCTGCTCTGGACAGCAGGAGCCTCTGCCTTGGGGCTCCCGGGACAGAGAAGCTGCCAGAGAGATTCTCCACCTATTCTCTGCAGACTTCTGAGGGGTGTTCAGCTTGCCATTTGTTAACTTTAACACTGCCTAAATGGGCAGCACCTTCATAGCTCAGCCACATATGACTCCCCATTTACTGACGGGCCACAGGAGTCCTCTGGGAAGGGGTGGATGGCAATCCCAGCAGATGCAGTCTTTGCTCTCTTGGAAATGGCATCCTTTTCCTCAATCATAGACATGGCTTCTCGAACGTTTTTTTTTTAACACATGCCAAAAGACTGGCGGCCAATCTTGAGGAGTGCTGTTGACAGGACATAAGCTTTTCTATCTCTGCCCTGGTAGTATCATGGATGGTCCTGCCGCTCAGCTGTACACGGAAGTTACAGCCTCAGCCTTGTGACACTGCTTTACGGTACTTAGAGGAAGGAGGACTGGGAAGAAGGCTGCAGGACCATAAAATCCATGGTACCTCCATGATCCACTCACTTGGTTCTGTTCTGCCCTCTGCGGTTTGGCAGAGTTGTAGCTTGCCTGTTTAACCTCTAATCCCTCCTCACCAGAATAGAGTGGTCACCTCGGGCTGCATAAACCCTGGGAACGGAGTTCATCCAGCACCCTTAGATTTCTGAGCCTGGCGCTGGTGGCTCACGCCTGTAACCCTAGCTACTCAGGAGGAGGCTGAGGTCCCAGGGTTGAAGTTCAAAACCGGCCTGGGCAGGAAAGGCCATGAGACCCCCCCCCCCCAAATCTCCAAGCAACCACCTAAACACCAGAAGTGGCTCAAAGTGGCAGAGTGCTAGCTTTGAGCAGAAAAGCTCCAGACCCTGAGCTCAAGCCCCATGACTAACTAAAACAAAGGGGGCCCGACTAGGTCGGCCTGCCACCCGCACATCCAAGCGCACCCCCCCCTTAGGGATGATCCCCGCCAGGTCTAAGGACCCCGCCTCCCCCCCCTCACCGCCGGGGCGCGCCCTCTCACCTGACGTGGCCTTACACATCTGGGGCATCCTGGTGACCCGGCTGTGTGCCACGAAGGTGCTCTGGGAGGAGGTGCTGTACTGGGAGCCGCTGTCGGAGGAGGTGGAGCTGGTGTGCGACAGGCGGCAGTGCTCGCGGTGCGAGGACGTGGAGCGCTGGTACCACTGGCGCAGCTCGTCCGACACGGCCGCGCGCCCCGCGCCCTTGTCGTGCGCGCCCTCGCGGCCCAGCGACGGAGTCCGCAGGAT